GCAAGGATTTTTTTTTGTGTGTCTTGGCCCCCCCCCCCCCCCCCCCCCCCCGCCCAAGAAAAGGTAATTTTTTCTTCTAGCAATCCACAGTAAATCTTTTGCAATATGTGGTAGTTTTTTGCAAATATGTGTGTTCTGTCTCCTTTATCAAAAGACGCTTCCAGTTTTAAATGTTAGGAAAAAATAAGCTACAGCTCCTTTTTCTCTGTGCAGTATGCTGATAGTATGTACTTGTACAGTACACTGAATCCTCTGATCTCCAGTCTGATTCTCCAAAATGAACCGTTGTGTTGGCATCTGTTTACAGTTGTACTGGAGGGGAATAATTCTGTTCTGCTGTCTCAAGCCTATGGTGTAGAGGAGAATGTATGGTTTAAGAATTTATATTGCTGTTGGAATCTGACATCATATTTTGAGAATGTTCTCATTCTGAATTAGTAATTTGGTGAGGGCACCTACTGTCAGTTTGGTCGTTACTGACATGGCCCTGGTCTGTGATATATGTAATGTATTTTGCTGACTAAAATTATTAAAAGGCAGCAGGATTTTCCATTTTATCATTCTTATGACATGTCTACAACTGCAAGACATATGTCCTAAACAATGAAGAATACTTTCTTACTGAACAGATCATCTTCATCTGAAGAAATGAAAGGGAAGTGTTTGAAGGAGAATGCGCTTCTGCCAAAGATAGTTTCACTCCAGAAGTAAAGCCTGTGTCTATATGGAAACAATTGTGCAGGGCTTATTGTATCCACTAATGCAAAGCGGCACTTGATTTGAGTGTAATACATGGGCAAGCTTGTTAAAAAAAAAACCAAACAAACAACAAAAAACAAACAACAAAAAACAAACAACAAAAAACCCCAACAAATAAACCAAAAAAACCACACACACACCCCCAAAAACCTCTTACACATTTTCACATAAGAGTACATTTTCTTTGTAAACGTTGCCTGTATTCTTCTCAATATAACTGCTAAAGGATTTTGTACAAGATGAGCAAATCCATTATTAAAACTCCTGAGCCTAAACGGGAAGCTATCTGTAGAAGAAAAAGTCCTTCAGAATGTTCCTTTTTGTTTTGGGGTTTTTTTTTTTTTGACAAGCAAGTCTAGCTTAAATTATCACAAATTGTGGGTGACTTAAATCTTTCACTTTTCTAAAGATATGCCAACCAGTCTAGGATATGCTTTTGTTCACTGTTGTGAATTTTAAACAAAACACATTGATTTCTTATGTGTTTCATTTTTACTCCCACACAGTGTCAGTTAACTGCGTTCATCGTACAAGGGGAAAAAACTAATTCTTTAAGCCAAAGGAGTGACATTAATAACACTTTCTTTTCATTGTAAAGATTTATTAGACTGAGCATTTATTCAGATCTCTCCTCAACTTTGATTTTTCTAGAACTAATAGAGAGTTGCTTTTATAAGAAATACTACCTTACTTACATGTCAGTAGTATATTATGGCAGCTCCACTTCCATTATCAGCAGTTTATGTGAATTAAGCTATGTAGCGTAACTTTTATTGTTCCAGCTCCTGAAGGGTGCTGTCCAAGCTTCCACTTGTGATACTGCTCTGTTAGACCTCAGTGCATGTTGGAAAGTGAAAATGCTATAGTTCAGTTGGATTTGCTATCCTAGAAACAAGCTTAGTTCCTATCTTTCATTTTCCACAGGGTGAATCGGTGAAATACTTCCTGGATAACCTGGATCGGATCGGTCAGCTGGTAAGACATACCTTTTCTTTCTGAACCAAAAGAGCTCAAAGAGATAATAGAAGCCTGGGCGTGCTATGATTAATGCTTTTTGGTTGGTTGGTTTTATTAAATAATAATGCATCAGATAACTTCTATGTTCTTTCTCTGGAAACAGTAAACGCCAGCCTAATGAAACTGAAGCTTAGTATTTGCTTAATCTTTTTTGACAGACAACAAATATTGTTTATGGAAGTTGTATTTATGCACGTATTTTCTTTTCAGTCCTACGCAGTCTCTGGATCTCATTCACTTTTTGTGATGATCCGATGGCTGGTGCTACTTAAGATACCAGAGTGAAACCTTACCAATAAAAAAAATTACTAGCATTTATAGGATTCAAAGTCTGTAATGAAAATATCTGTCAGGAGACTTGGAGGAGAAAGAAGGGAGATGATTTTCCTAAACAGTAACAGGGATAAGCTTCTGAAGAACATATCTGTCTACAGTGGTGGGCTGGGCCACAGTCTGTGGTAGAACATGTTGCTGTACTTGCCAGTCATGGAGTGTGAGCCTGGAAGAAGTAGTTCTGCTAAAGCTTGCAAGATGTTCTTTGTAAGAGTAATGGACTGTGAAAAACTAGATTTCAAAAAAAAATCCTTTCAGTGGTGACTTTGGTGATCTGCTTTACTGAACACTACCTAAATGGCAATAACACTGTAGCTAAGAATTTCATAATGAAAAAATAGACTTCAGCCTGAAAATGAGAGGCTTGAAAGATAAAAAGTGAACCAGTGCATTAGTCCTATATTTTTATTCTCGTGTGTCTCAGGATCTTCTGTAGCTGTTTACCAATGTATTGAGATAAATGGTCACCAGTCCATTTTTTGAAGTTGAGTATTCATTCTTCACTTGATAATTAAAAAAACATGGGTCTCGTTGATTTTTCCCATCGCTTCAATATTCTGGCATTAGCCAGCATTTTTGAAGGACTTTTGTGACACTTTTCTCCTTTCTTTTACAGAATTATTTCCCCAGCAAACAAGATATTTTGCTGGCTAGAAAAGCCACCAAGGGGATAGTAGAGCATGATTTCATCATTAAAAAAATACCTTTCAAGATGGTGGATGTAGGTGGACAGAGATCTCAGCGTCAAAAGTGGTTCCAGTGCTTTGATGGAATAACTTCAATTTTGTTTATGGTCTCCTCCAGTGAATACGATCAGGTTCTCATGGAAGACAGGCGCACAAATAGACTTGTGGAGTCCATGAATATCTTTGAGACAATAGTCAATAACAAGCTTTTCTTTAATGTTTCTATTATCCTATTCCTCAACAAGATGGATCTTCTTGTAGAGAAGGTAAAGACTGTCAGCATTAAGAAGTATTTCTCGGACTTCAAAGGCGACCCTCACAGGCTAGAAGATGTTCAACGTTATCTGGTGCAGTGCTTTGACAGAAAGAGGAGAAACCGTAGTAAGCCACTCTTCCACCACTTCACCACTGCCATAGACACTGAAAACATCCGCTTTGTGTTTCATGCCGTGAAGGACACGATCCTTCAAGAGAATCTGAAGGATATTATGTTGCAGTGAAGGAGAGCAGCCGATGTTCTGTTAAAATTTGCCGGAGGGTTAGATCAAAGTTTTTATCCTTTCTTTATGGCCCTTGCATGTGGTGTAGGACCCGTGCTAATTACTTGGCTCAGGAATGCTGTGAACTAGCCAGTCCAAACAGAGGAGCTATAGGCCGAAGGAGTCAAATGTTAATGTTAGCTACTGAATCATTTGGACTAGAAACACTACTGAAACATGGCCGTTATAGGTTCTGTACCTAGTTTGGAATGCTGAATAACACAACCACCTTCTGCCTTCTTAGAAAAAAGAAATCTCTGACAAACCATGCGTGGAAGACACGTTGTTTTAAATGAATATGCTCATTTTTCAGAGACGCTAGTAGTACAAACTGCCTTTTTTTTTTTTTTGTAGTTTGGAGGTGCTGAATTGATCAAACTAATCTAAACGTAATGAGATTGGCAGCTGTATTGGAGAACATTAATGGAAGTTCCGTTCTTAACCCGTAGGAATATAACCAGATCTTGTGTGCGTGTTCAGCTTTGCCAAGGGTCTGGAATCCACTTACCAAGGTGGATGCACAGCTCTTGTCTGAAGGTTTTGCATGAGTCTCCTGAGGCAAAAGTCTAAAACTGTATGAGGAAACCCATGTTGGAGTAAATTGGATGGGAAGTTAAGGCCTTGCCGATATAGAGAAGGGTTTATTTTGCACTATGTGTGAAGGGTATTACATCATGGGAAAACTGATTTCCTTGGTGAAGCAGCCTGTGCTAGAGCACCTGACCATGTATTTGCACAGTGGGTGCTCGAGTGAGATGTACTTCATGGAAATTCAGCACTGTTCTCACATTCACAGTTGGCAGTATTTGTGAAGGTTCAGTATCTCACGTGACAGGTATTTATCTATATTCAAAGGGTTTGAAAGCTGATTAAACTCTTAAGCAAAGGTTTTGGTAGTACAGCAGCTGCTTGATTAGTTTCCAACAGCTGACCTTATAGGAAGACTGAACACCCTAGAGATCCCAGTTGTACAGCTGCACTGATGTATTTGGACAGCAAGACCTTGCTGTAAAATTAGCCTTTAATCTGTGTCTTAATGGGATCTTTAGCCTATAGTAATGCACATGTAATTCTGAGTACAGTCAAGTTTGGAGTTGCCCGTTTTGGGCAATGGTTTGTGTGTAAAATTGCAAGAGGCTATGAATAATGTTGATACGAACTGTTAATTTCCTAGCTCTCTCAATCTGTGTAACTAACTGTCAGGTGCCTTTTTTGTGTACAGATATATCGGATCTTTTCTACTGCGGTGGGGTACATGGGCAAATGGAAGATCTGCCTTTTATATCAACATTGTAGTGCTATCCTTTAAGTAATTTTTCAAACATAGTTTACTGTGCAATTTTTGTCATAGTTTTTATCCAAGAATAAAACCTGAAGGGCTGTTTGCACCCGTAAAAAGTCAGCAGATTCCCTGGAGTTCTTATCCCCTTTGAGCCTGCAATGGCATGTCAAAATAAGCAACGTTTTACTTCAGCTGGTAATCCCATGGGAAATGTGGTCAAAAAAGTCCTGTTCTGTTGTCCTTTCATGTTAATTTGGATAAAATCTGGAATCTTTCTTCCCCTCTGAAGCTTGCAGATGTTCATATCAGTATTTTTGTGTAGTTCCCTAATGTAGCAGTCTCTTGGCTTTCATTGCGCAAGCTTCAGAGTGGAAAAGATGTAGCTATTTCAGTGCTATGTAATGCACACAGTATTGAGGTAAGAAGCAACTGAAAAGTTGCAGATGGGAAAATCTAACTTAAATTTGAGCAAACTTAAACAGGAATTAGCTTCCTTGTAACAAGTCTTATTTATGCCAGGACCAACTCTGTCTTTTAAATATTTATTCATTTTTAACCTTGAAGGGGGAAAATGTTACATGACTTAATATTCAGATGGGGGGAAACTCTTAAGATTATTACGTTTGAAAAGGTAAATGTTTCAACACAGAGTGATGCAAACAAATTTACTAATCATATAAGGTTCATTTCTCTAAGCTAGCCCATTTGTTTGGCTGAAGACTAAGACTGTTTTCAAAGCTTTCAGATATTCTTGGAGTTCTTGGTAGTGGTTTCCACTTCACACAAAGCACTGGGAAAGAGGCAGCAGTTGTGGGCTGACCTGACTTCTAGGTTGACTTGGCTTTACTTCCTAGTTTGCTGTGAGCTTTATTCTTTCACTAAATTTTCTAGATGGGTTAATATTATGCTTGTTTTCTCAAATGAGTTAAACATTCCCTTTCAACTGTATTTTTTCTCAAGAATTACCTCAGGTTTATGTCTGAATCTACTGTAGTTTTACCTGGGAGGCGTAGCATAGAATTTCCTGTTATGTTTTTCTCTTCATGCTCATCCATGGTTTTGTATCCTTAGTCACCTTACGGATTTAAAACTCTGAACAGAGCTAATAAGGCAACTTATATTTTAAGTAACTTAATCTGCACCTGGAAAAGAAACAGCATGAGATATCTCATATTGAGCTCTCAAGCATTTTTTTTTTTTGTATAATAGGGCAGTTTTGCACACTAAGTCATAGTTTTAGGGAAGCAGTTTGATCACCTCAGGCTCATTATTGCCTTTCTTCTTTTTATTGATAAAATGGGCCTAAGCGTGATGCTGTAGACTGCGGATGAAAATCAGTAGTTTGGCTCTGTAGGCTCTGTGTTCTGTTGAACTTTGATAGTGATGGTTCATACCAGGAATCAAAGATCAGGAAAATCTTGCAAAAGTCAAGCACTTCTCACGTTTGCAAAGGATCTGGCCCATGAGTAAAAAGAGTATTTTTTTAAGTAGCAGCTTTCTCTGCAAAATACACTCCACTTCTTGCCACAACTGAGGGGTTTTGTATTTGTTTTTTTCCAAGGTAAGTTGTGGTATAATAAAGCCAGAAAATCATATTATGGTAAATCAGTTAATTACTAAAGCAGAACTTAGGTGGGTTAGATCGTACAAACATCTCGGGACAGGCTTGGTCAGTTGCTTAGTCCTTTCACAAGAAACTAATGGAGAACTTTATTTTAAGTGACATCCTGGAGAACTTTGCAGGTAAACACAGCTGGAGAGAACATCTTTTTTTGTTAAGTTTATAGGCTTATTGTTCATTTGGCTAGTCAGGAAATGGGTCACAGGCAGGATGATCATCAGATGGAGACCTTGAACAACTACTTTTTTTTTAAAAAAAAAAGGCAGCCTTTTGCTGTCCCTCCTCTGACACCCACAGGTCAATGACCAGTGACGGGGTTTTGCAAAAGGGTTGTCTCTCACAAGGACAAAGAAAGGAAGTGCTTGCAGCATGTGCTTGCAGGAGAGACCTACGTAATCTTGCAGTTTAAGTAGAAAAACTAACTAAATGGGAGTCGTTTATCAAACACTACTTTGTATTGGTTGTTCTCAAAACAGGCTTTAAGCTATTACGGCGTGTCAGTCAGTACCATTCCTTCAGATTGCAGTGCTGTCATTCTCTGAACAATTCTTAGATGGCATTACGAGGTGACATGGTGAATTGGAATTAAAAAAGAAGAATGGTTTTCTGTAAGTGACATATTTAATAAGCAATTGTCACTTCGAAGGAATTAAATAGTTCTTAATGTTGAAAATGAATTAATACTGATTATGGAATGGAAATTACTGGCCACTCAGCTTTACACTACAACTCAAAGATTCTTCCAGTTTGATACAAAGAATTGCTTATTTTATTTAATATGGCAGCATAGATTATTTGACTTATTAACCTGATAATATATTCAGTTTTTTTAAAATACTGCTGTGTAAAACCTAGAACTAGGCAAGCTCCTGAAGATGACCATTTACAGGCTTTCTGAGCCAACTAAAGCCTGAACCTCAGCCAAGCAGACAGAGTGGAGAAACTAACAGCATAAAACCTGTAGTGAAATGGAGTAGAAAGAGCTCATCTGTATGTTGCACTGCAGACAAAGATATAATTCCACTAGAATAGCTAAAGTAGGTTTTGGTATGAAAAATGGTGCATTTGAAAAGTGTGTCCCATCCTGTCCGTGTGTCGTCCCCCCATCCCCATTTCCCCATCCTCCCCCGGGTATTCACCAGTCCTGGCTGCAAAGAATTGTAGAATTAAAGAAATTAAAAGAATAGACACGGAACCACTGAAGAAACTAGCAGCTTTCTTTAGTGACAGACAACTACCTTCTACAGAATATCATTTCAGAAAACAAGCCCTTTGCTGCCTTTAGCTGGCTGCCTTTGTGAATATTAACTTCATGCTTTGGAGTCTTTTCTGTGTATGTACCTCTTCAGTTCTTCTGGGAAAAAAGTCATTCTGCCTCATGGAACTACAGGACTTCAGTAGAAGGCCCCTCTGATTTTCAAGTAGTAAGTTTTGACACTTGACTTAACTTTGCTTGTGTCATCAAATTTTCAGGAGTACTTATGATAGACAATTTGATGCATGCCAGCTTGAGACACAAATATGCAATAACACCTCCATACAGTGCAGCTTGTCATGTAACCCAAACACTGATCTCTCATGATGAGAACTATATTGATTCCTCTAGGTTTAGTAGTAGCCCTTGTTCTATATCATTTTTCTAGTATAAAATCACATGGTGTAGTCAGGGGTTTTAACATAGCACTGCCAACTCTTTACCTCAGTACACTCTCTATTAATTCTGTAACACAAAGCGGTGGGTAGGGTGTTTCAGTAGAAACTATAAAACATCTGTGCCTACTTTTGTAAATGAATTTTTAACAGATTTCTAGGAAGCATATCCATTATAGATCAGGAAGGCTGGCGTGGTCTGGGCCAGACTTGGCCTGAATTAATATGGACTCCACACACTTCTAGATGAGGACTGACTAGCCTAGTGAGGAAGTAATTGGCAAGACAACACAAGACCTAGTGCTTTTTAATATTACCTGTTTTGTAATTAGCTGGGGTGATCTCTGCTTTGTGCTGTGAAGTGGGCACTTCTTTGTTTTAACACTAATCTTTTTCTACATAGATGGAAATGAGTATAGCCAGGATATTTGGAGCTGAAACTGCTGCTCTGCTAACCAGGTGATGCTATCTCTTTGCTCATCTTGGTGGTTGGACAGTTTAGCTTGATTCTTGATGTTTTTGTCCTTCTAATGGCATTTGGAAAGCGGTGTTGAAGTTTGTCTATGTGTCAATATGCTTGTTTTCTTATTGGGTGGGGAGTATGGAGGTACTAGATTGTCAGTGCTAGTGGTTCTGTGCCTAGCTTGATGAACTGTATCACAACCTAGCTCTTGGCATATGTCCGAAGGCCTTATCTTCTGTCCAATGTGAAATATTCACAGTTGGAGAGAAAAAAAGAGCAGCACTGACTTCTGAGGTGGGCATTCTGGTAAAAAAGCCAAAGTATGTTGGAAGGGAGCAAGAGAGGGGAGCTATTTTCTAAACAGATCCCAAAAGCTGATGGTGCTTGAAGACTGACTGTATTGAAGTGAAATGCCATCTGCATTGACCCCAAAAGCTTTGAGTGACTCCAGAGAGCTATTGGCTGTGAACTAGCAGCAGCAGGCTGGCTAGGCTCGCCCTGCTGCAGCTGCACACCCTTCCATTGTAAATCTCTCTTCATCTGTTCATAACTGGGTGCGAAAACTCAATTTCTACTAAAATACAGTATACAG